TTAAAATCAAATCTCACAAAGTGTAATTAATTAGTGGACGATGATCAAGAACCTTGCTGATGGCGTCATTATGGCCGATGAGTTCTACTTCACCTCTCTTTGTGAAGACCTGAACAAGTACTACAGAATGTTTAGGCACAGATGGAAGGAATATTTGATAAAACATTTCTTCAACTCACCTTGGACAACTAAGGAAATCGTTGCAGCTGCTATTTTCCTAATGCTCACTTTCATACAGACGGTGTGCTCTATTATCTCTGCTGCGCAACAATAGTAAGTTTCTCCTTGGCCTTTAACTCCCCATATCCCTATCCCTTTGTTCATCACATCACATGTGCTGGTTTTCTACGGTCTTCGAGGTAGCGTCTAGTCTTTGAGAGAGGCGTAAGTTAGGTTTAATTTGCAAACTGTGATTAGTCGTCTATAGTATGGAAGAAGGCTTAGGTTTCCTTCAACTGAGTGTAAGAGAGATTGGAAGTTTGAAAAAAAAAAAATGTAGAAGAGTATTGGAATTTACAAGGTTAATGAGTATGATAGGAAGTTGATTTAAATTAGGAATTTCAGATAATTAAGTGAGAAGCCATTATTAGGCTCTCTCTTCTGATAATCGGTTTCTTATTCGTTCACCAGATTCTAGCAGGAAGCTAATTTGGAGTCTCATCAAAGAAGGGATACTAGGGAAGCCTGTGAATACGTACCTAACAAATAAAGCTGTGTATGTCCACCCAACTTGGAAGTTGCTTTGCCCTGATCTCGCTGCATTTCCATATGAAAAGCATGTTGTGAAGAAGTGCCCCTGCTAGCTAGGCCCATTGCCAAGCTCCTGAAATGAGCTGAAATATGTAAATCCATCAAAGTCTTTTTTTATTTCAAGTGTTCATATTTAACAAATTCAAACTGCATGTATCAAACTGTACGTTTTCTTGCCAAGACTTTTATTTGGCTAAAAATATTGTTATAATATGTAATACTAAATTATAAACTGTTTCTCAGATATTTGTCTCATAAATTTCAGTACATGATGTTGGAAAGTTTTTTAAAGATAAATATAGGGTTGAGGAAAACAGGGGAAAAACAGGGGAAAAGAGCTTGCATTGGCCTCAGTCCCCCCATATATGTCTCTACTCTGTCCAAATCGTCCGTTTCTTGAGCTTATAAGCCTCCACAACTTTTGTTTTGGTTGGTCTGCCTCCCCCTACGTCTTGAATACAACAGGAACAAATCCATTACTTCATATTTAATTTATTCCAACGAAATGCACTTTAGCCTTTCCGAGTGATACTGGTTTAATTAATTAACACGAAAAGGATCCAAATTTTTTTTTAATCTTTGAATCCAATACATATTAAAGCTAAATTAAATGTATATCCACCCCTTTTTTCATACAAGCGCTATTTTATTTTAATCTAATCTAAACTACGGGAAGGGGGATTTGAACTCGGATGCAGAATGGGGAGCACATCCGCTTTAGCCAACGTAGCTAAACCCATTTTGCACACAGTCCACCCCTTGGAACATCTCCATTAACCCCAAAAATGTTTATTAAAAAAAAACAGTTAATATAAGAGTGAAATCAATGAAGTCATTAAGCCAAGCGTGATGGTAAAAACTGATCAAGAATAACATTTCTTTTGCATGTCGTGAAAGAAAAAGAAAAACACCGCTTTTCTGCTTTTATTATTCGAACCAATTATACCCCGGCATGCTTTGAAGCTGATTTAAGAATATGGCCTACTAACTTTCTCGCCATTATATATAAGAGTGTTGTGTGTGTATATTATAACAACAATATTAATGACTGACTTCGGTGCGGGTAAACGAGCAAATAAGAGCATAAGTCTTGATTTTCTGGTAAGTTTTTATTGCACGTGGTTTTGTACCTTTAAGTTTGTTTTATTTGTTGATGGTTCTTGGTTTGACCAAAGTTTGCTGTTGTTACACGGCCGATCTGTATTGGTCATTTGTGACTGTGACTGTAAGCAGTGGCGGATCTAGGATTCTCGGGCCAAGGGGTTACAGTGTAAAAGTTTCGAAATTTTTTTAGAAGAAAATAACACTAGAAAAACAGAAAAATAGTACTTTCCATCCAAACTTCAATTGTCCACGATGAATTTTCTTTTAAAAACATTGCATTGTAGCTTCATAAATCATTTATTTTTTTAATAATTTTAGGCACTTTTGTTAATGTCTCATCTAAAAGAGAATATCATTTTTTTAATAAAGAATAAAATTATAATGTATAGAGACTACACTTATCTTTTTAAAAAAATTAAAATGAAACAAGCCCAACCCCCTACTTTGAAAAAGAAAATTAAAAAAACAAAAAACAAAAAACAATACCTCCCATTTTCTTTTTCCCAGTTTCACTCTCTGCAACATCCACCCCAATCCCCTCTTCCGTACCTTCTCAACTTTTATAAAATAAAAAAATACTACATATAATATAACATGTTTTCTGTTGTTGGCGTGCCTACATTCCTCTTCCCATTCCCTGCCACTTAAGCTTTTGTTACTTTTAATACTTCTAATATTATATTTTTACGTTGTTTTTAACTACTCATTTAATGCAACATAATTTCCTCCAAAAGCCAAACCAAAACCAGAACTTGCTTCCCCATTTACTACATGGGTCCCACATGGAAATTTTATCAATCTCAGCAGTTTACAACACAAATTCCCTTTGATCTGCTCTGTCTTGCCTTTCCTTTTCTCTATCTCTGTCCAAAATTAAAACTCACCCACCCATTACCATAGCTGTAACCCACCCATTACCATCTGCTCTGTCTTGCATTTTCTTTTCTCTATCTCTGTACAAAATTAAAACTCACCCACCCATTACCATCGCTGTAGCCCACCCATTACCTTTCCTTTTCTCAATCTCTGTACAAAATTAAAACTCACCCACCCATTACCATCGATGTAACCCACCCACGACAGCTAAATGCCGGCATCCCAAGGGGTCAATTGACCCCTTCTGTCCCTTGGTGCGTCCGCCCCTGATGACGGGCGATCTCAAAACCCAAGTTTCTGTGGACAACGTTCTATTCGTGGGATTAGGACGGCAGGGGAGGGAGGTGGCGTCCACCAGAGGAAAACCCATCGTATGTTGGGTATAATGTGGTTTAGGTGCAAATCCCACAGCATAAGTTGGTTCGGGTGTCACCATGGACGTCCCTGCAGAAGATGATGGAAGGCCCAGGTGGCCTTGGAACTTGGAATCCAGAGACGGGTTGGGAAGGAGACTAGCCTATGGAGAAGGTGTGAACGGACCAGATCGAACAACACATGTGGAGGATGGCTCAGGTTTTGAGGTTGTGATGTTGTTGACAATTAACGTCACGGAAGCTTGTAACTTGGCAATATCTGTTGACATGGACAAAAATTCAGTCTTTTGATCAGCCGTCAATTTGGTGACATCCGCAGAAATTTTCACCTGGAATTCCTGATGTTGTGCAGCCAAATTGGCAACGGTGATGTTGGGAGCCATGGTGACAAGTAAAAGTAACGAAGCAGAGGAACAACGGTGGAGCAACCAGGCTCTAAATACCAATTGATGTAGTACAGCCCATAGGTATTAGATTAAGCACTTAAACAATCGAACATGGAAGAATATAAGGGATCGAGGAGAAGAAATATAGATTGAAAAGACGAGATAAAAGGCAGAAACTGTAGAACAAAGAAGAATATTGAAGATCGAGGAGAAGAAAATATAGATCGAATATACGAAATTAGAGAGTTCTAGGAAAAGGTTTACTCAACATTCAAATCTTAATTTTAAAGAACTACATGGAGTTATTTATAGCAAACTAAAACCTAGAAATAATAGGATAAAAATCTCTTACTTAAACAGAAATCCTAACCCAAATAAAATAGGAAACTTAAAACTAGAAATATGGAAATCTGGAAAAGTAGAAATCCTACTAGTAATTGGAAAACTAGAGAATCTAGGAAACAAACAAATACATTAGGAAACTAATAAATTTAGGTCATACGCATCCTGCATCAGTAGCTAGCTAGCTTTAGCAGATAATAATAGCCAATATGATTGTGTACACGAACATAGGAAGAAGTGAAAGACAATAGAGAAGTAGAATACCTAAATCAGCCAAGAAAACGCGAACAGAGAGGTTTCGGCCGTCAGCATACTCTTCTTGAAGACTATCTAGATTCTGCGAGTCCCATATCCAGCACGTAGAAGTATAAGCATCCTTTCCCCTTGTTTTACCAGCTTTAGCAAATGAGTTAGCAGCTTCAGCATATGAGTAAGCAATACACTGGCAGTTCTCGAGGCAGGTGTTCTTGCATTCTTTTTCATTGCTAACATAATTTTGTATGTCTGGGTTTCCCACCTTCATCATCTTTAAAGTGGAGAATGTTTCGTTGTTGTGACATAATGGTGGCCCTCTTGTGCATCCATCAGAAAAGTCCCCAGACTTCCATTTATCTAGAGACGTGGGTTTGAAGCCTGGCAAGCATTTGCACACTGACGGCCAATTATTCATATTACAGCTGCCAAAGTTCCCACAAGCATTAAACACACTGCATTGATCTTTTGGCTCTGACCATATCATAGTCCAATTATTCTTAAGCCACCTCCAAAACTGTATATTCCCCTTAAAATCCATCACCAATCTTGTATGATTGTATTCTGTCCGATTCAGAATTGCTATGCCCTTATAAGACTTCCTACTTGTAGAATTGAAAATCCTGGAGGAGGTTTTTTTTTTAAAATAACTCTGGCTGAAATTTGATAATAAGTAAGCAACTTCTGGAAGTATTTCATCTGAAATGACAAATGTACCAGTTCCTGGTTCTCGACTTTTCCAGTAAGCAATCGATTTTGATTTTGTGATCATATACTGATTCTGGTTGTCTTCTGCTACATCTAGTTTGAAGGTGAAGTTCCCAAATCCTGGGTCGTCTTCACCTCTCCATGAAGTCAATTCCATGTCGTTATCAATTTTCATCCCAGGAATGAATGTATCAGTTGGATTTTGAAAGCTCTGCCACAAAATATTATTCACTGCCACCCGATCGTCACCATCACTTAACACCAGGTTCCCAGAATCCATGAGCTTCACCATCGGGTTGAGAGCAGAAGAGGAGGCTTCAAACTTAGCTGACCAATAAGACTTTCCAGTAATTGCATCCGACACATGGAGGGTACTTTCTTTGATTTCAATAACTCCAGTAGACTTGGCAGGAACCGCCGTATCTCTGTTGGAAACCCATACAACTGTCCTTGGAGCCAGTTGATGATACCATATACCAACATATCTTCCATTGCCAGACGTTCCTGCTTCTGTAGATGAAGGTGTAAAGAATCCCAGTTCAAATCGTCCTCCAGCTGAAACAAGACTTTCTGATCCGTCGTCCCTAATTGGATCGTCACGTGACGTTAGAGTATCTCTAGCAGTAGCAGAGCAAAACAGGTGGTGAGAAAAGCACAACAAGAGTAACGCATAGGAGGAGAAGATGGAAGATAGCATGCGATTTGCAAACCATGAAAGGTTGGAAATAAACATAATACAGGGAGCCAAACACACGTGCTTGGCTCGGGGGAGTCTACTGGAAGTCGTATCAACCTTCATTTGTTTCCCTTGTTTAGTATCAGAAAATGTGAGGTTTACGCCAATAGTGCTCTGCAATTTGCACCTAGAACAAACACTTGGTATACCAGCCAAAGCAGAAAATGTTATTCCTGTAGCAATCAGTCAATGTTTTCATATGACTTTAGAGGAAGCTGCATGATTGAATAGTAGTAGCTGGCTCAATGTCGAGTCAAGGTCGTCTGAGTTTGGTTTTATTGCATCTTTTCTTTGTGTCCACTGATTTACTTTCATTTATCTCCCTCCCTCTCATTTTGTTATTTGTAAATTTCTCAAGTTCTCAAATTCCTTTGGTCCTACTTCATATATTTCAAAATTTCCCATTATCGCTGACTTTTCTTCCCTCTGAAAATCAAATTTTGCTTTCAATTTTTTAGATTTTGAGAAATGTTTTGGAGGCAACCGCATTTCTGTTGGGCTGGGCTTCGGTCATGCAGCTTCGAACCCTGCGGTTGACGGCGTCCTTCTTTCCTTCTTCCTTTTACCTTTCTTTGTTGATTTTGGCCCAGCATTGTTTACCAGTGAAGTAAAGTTTAGCCCACTCCATATTTGTCAGTCGTTAAAACAACATATGGATTGGATTAGCGTTATCATTTCGTTATTATGGAAAGATTAAAAATGAATACGATAATAATCTGATTCGATGCAAATTTGATGTTTACCACATATAGATTGATAAGTTGAATTTGACTGTATAAATACAATTCGGATGTGATAACTGATTAAAAATAGATGCATTTGTAGATTAGGCTCAACCTTACCCACCATGAAATACAACCTTGTAAGACATACATTGTACATCCAACGGTGACTATCATTTTAAATAGCTAAAAGGGGAAAAGATGAACCAATTACATGTACTGATCAAAAGAGTTGAAGTTGATGAATGATATACATTGTTGAACTATGAACTTTGCAGCTTATAGCCTTCTTCTTTGGTCTTTATTTGAACTTCACAGATATCCAGGCTGTGATTGTTGTGGATTTTTCAATTTTCTAATGGCAATATGAAATAGTGAATCTATATCAGGATCAGTAAGAAAAACCTGTAAATTGGGTGGTGGCTTGAATTATTTGTGGCCTTATTAAATTTGGGCCTTAAAACTGCAAAAATTACAAACTAGAAAAACATGGAGTTTCTATAATTAGGAGTTATGTTAAGGGATTCAATCCAACAATCCGATAATGATTTGACGGCTATTAAGAACCCTCTTATTATACCCTATCATTCTTCTAGCCTTCTTACTAGAAAACATGTCTAATTAAAACTATTGGGCCTTAGCCTAAAACGAGATATGACCGTTCCAAACACCTAGGCCCAGTTTACCAATTTTCATCAAAATGGGCCTTATTGTTGGATTTGGATTACAGATTTGGCCTTATGACTGGACCAGTTCGGTAGCCGATTTGAATCCAAAACCGAGCCGGCTCCGAACCACACCTACCCCTAGTGCAGGTTATATCTATTTCTCAATAAACGACGAGTCGTGTTATTGCAGAACAACCAGCCACTCGTTGATTGTCATTCATTCTAGACCGAGGAGAACTGGCGAATGGCATGTTGAGCGCGTGGACTTCATGAGTCTTATCTTTTACTTTATTTATTTATTTATTCATTCATAAAATATCTTATAAATTTTTTAATCAAAGCGACCATAAGAATTAGAGGTGGACATCATTCGGAGCCGCGAAATGCAGGGCTGAAAATCGCACGGGGTTGGGGCCCAGTGTACACGTAATACATAGAAAATCAGTTGCAGGTGCGAAGACCCACGTGGTTCGATGGCCCAAATGACGACACGTAAGCGAATAGAATCTCCCACATTGATATCTGCCACCTGGACGACATGTCAGCCATGCGAACCAACGATTTAAAAAATATCCTGCAAGGGCTGCACCAACCGAAGAGGCAAAGACCGAAGGGCCCCTCAGGATATATTCAGACCACATAAAGCTTTTGTTCCCTCAGAAGCCGACACCTGGCACCGCGAAGCACCACAGCCTCAGCTTTTGGTCCTCTCTCTCAACCTTTCAACCTTTGGACCATTGTGGTGGTGTTCTCACACACAACCCAAGAGGTTCTGGGTCGTTAGCGTCCATTTACAATCTGATAATGACTTTTTTACCCTCGTTTACTTGGTATTCAAATCAATTTCTTTTCCTTTCTTCTCTCTCGTTGAAAAGAAATTGGACTTAAATTTTGGTCAATTTTATGGAATTGGATGACAAGATTTTCTTTTTTTTCACCAGTATCACCTTCCATTTCCTCACCGAATAAGTAAATTTCATATCCGTGCAATTACCTGCAAATTACATACATTGCGTAAAATAGATTTTTTGCAATTATCGGAGAAAGTTGATTAAATTCGAGCAACAACTTCATTATCAAGCTCAAAGTTTAAAAGTAAAATTGATTACGTCCAATCATTCGCAATCGAGGTAAATGTTTTTTTGTATTACTTATCTTCCATTTACCATTGGTGAATGTTTGCAGGTTGAGAAGATGATACGTCAAAAACTTGTACCTTGAATGGTAAAATCGTTATTAAAGGCAAAAGCAAGGTTGTTGCTATAAAACACTGCAAGTGGTCCTTTCCTTCCTTCTCTCTTCTTTCCCACCCATCCCGTACAAGAGGGAATAAAATTCCGAGAAAACACAGAGAAACTGAGAGAAAAAAATCTGAAAACTCAAGGCGGACTTTGAGTCCTTTTGCAAGAGAGATGAAGAACTGCGAGCTGTGCCAGCTTCCTGCAAGAACCTATTGCGAATCAGACCAGGCGATTTTGTGCTGGGACTGCGACGCCAAGGTTCACGGTGCCAATTTCTTGGTGGCGAGGCACTCTAGGAGCCTCCTCTGCCACGCGTGCCAGTCTCCGACGCCTTGGAAGGCCTCCGGTGAAAAGCTCGGCCATACGTTTTCCGTGTGCGAGAGCTGTGTGGTCAGAGATGAAAGCAGAGACGAAGACGAAGACGAAGAGAGCCAAGGCGGCAATGATAATGAATATGACTCCGATAACGATCCAGATGATGATGATGATGATGATTTTGATGAGGACGGAGATAATCAGGTGGTGCCGTGGTCTTCGACGACCCCGCCTCCACCGTCGCCGAGCTCATCGAGCAGCGAAGAGGCTGCGAGTGCGTTAAACAATGGCGATACAGAAGGTCCCAAAACGGCCACCACCGTTTCGTTGAAGCGAATCAGAGAAACGGCTTCGGATCTTCGCTCTCAGGTACGTTTTGCTCTGTTTTCGTTATTTTCTTTCAAAACTGTCTTCGATTCCCGTTTTACAACGGTTAAGATTCGTGCGTGCTTCTATCACAGGACGATCTCGACCGTTCATCTTCTCGACGGAGGTACGGCTCAGCTTCGGCAGCTCAAGCGAGTCGGCCCGAACCCGACGGCGGAGCCACTTCGTTTGACTCCTCGCGACCACGAAAAGACCGGAGAATCGATCTAAACGGGCCGGGTTCGCCGTCCGAACCCGTTATTGAGTCGAAGATGATATATCGCCGGGAAGATAGCCTTCGATCTTGACGCTTCGGAGCGTCCTGGCCGTCGGATATGAGGTAGTTTATGATGATAATTCTTTTTACTTACCTAACAACAGTCTCAACTGATCCTGATTTGACCAGTAGTTAAATTTGTATTAGTCAGACAATTTGTTTTAATTTTTTTTCTTATTTTAACCGCGATAGTAATTCTGATTCTTCATTTTCGTGTCGTGCCATATATATTGTAAAGAAACTTTTTTTGGCGTATGGAAATGGAATCTTTGTGTTTCTTTTTAATTTAATTTCCTTTTTTCTTGCTTGGATTTTTTCTTCCTTTTAATTAGGGTGTCACGCTCTTAACGTGCCATTAATTGGAAAGTAAACTGATCGTTAAGGAATTTGTAGATCAATAATTAAGAGTAGTTACCAGTGTATCTGATATGTTGTGTTCGAATCTCCATCCCCAATATCACTTGTATTAAAAAAATAGTGGAAACATGGTGGTACGTAGAAATCTACCCGCAAATGATTTGTAACAAATTTGATAGTTAAATGAATTTTTTGTTTAAAGCATGTGTTTAAAACTTTAATAATTCTCATTAGAGCGCAAGAAACAGTGAAACTAAATAAGTTGTTTTCAAAAATACTTTCACGCGTCTTTGGAAATTTTGATTTTTTTTATTATTATTATTTTTAATATGTAAGAATGTATGGCTGTGGCAGTAGAATGTGGTGGAGGCACATAAATGTGTGGTGTGGAGTAAAAGACCGAGTCTGATAGGGTCTGTCTGTGCACTTTGATGGAGGTGGCGTGATGGCCTTTCCTTTAGGCATGGCAGGTGTCAGAAAATGCCATGGCCAATTCTGTGGCACGCGGATAAACCATGCTCCATAGAAATGGTTGGTTCCTTTAGTCTTAGATTGGGAATTTGGGACCTTTGAATGTGCCTTTGAACGGTTATATTTCAAAAACCAGTGAATGATAATAGTGAGCTGAGAATTGAGATTGATTTGTTGGGTTGGGTACTTGTCTGAATTCCCAAGGTTTGCTCCATATACCACACGTCTTCTTGCACCCTCCCCCTGTATAGTAGGGAGGTTGAGTAAGATTGACTGGTTCTTAGTAGTAGTTATAGATCAAGCTACTTTTTTTTTTCCCCCATACAACGATAACTAAATTAAACTAATCTAATCTACAGGGAGTAATAAGTCTTGTTCGTGTAAAGCAAAACGGGCAATAGTATGAGCCACTTTGTTACACTTTCTAGGTCAAAATTGAACTTCTTTTAAAGAAAAATGCGTAAACAAATTTCTCACATTATCCACAATGTTGCCGACATCAGCCCAAATTGTCTCCCCTATAAATTGCATTTGCAGCAAACAA